TTCTTCATGAATATGTTATCCATGATCAAGGTGATTTGTATGCACTTATGTTATATGCTACATTTAGATTGATTGTAGCCTGCTAACATTAGCTCATAAGCATGTGTTTAGTAATTTATCATGATTCTTTTGATTACTCATTGGTCTTCATATTGTTTGCTGCCTCTGGATGGGATATAGACTTCTCATCCACCGTGAGTCATTATTTATAAGCAAGTCGTTACATCTCCAATTTGATTTGTTAATGTTCATTTGCTTGATCAAAGTTGTCAGTTGGTTGCATGAAGTTCATTTGAATGCAATCATCTTAAGCAAATTATATTGAAGTTCACAAATCCTTGTTCATTTAATTTAAGTTTTGTAGCCAAGGCCCCTGCAGTTTGTTCACACCATGTTCAAGTTCAAGTTCTAATCAAGTTTTTCTTGGTGTAGCTTTATTCAAGTCCTTTGTTGTCCAAATCAAGCTTGAGTTAATGTTCAGTTTATTTCATTTGAGTTCAAATCCAGTTCAAGTTTGAGTCCAAGTTCATTTTTAAGTCTTTTTGTATTTATTCAAGTCTAGTCCTCTACATTTAGTTTAAGTTCAAGTCTCATGTTCAGTGCAAATTTCGGCAGCCTCCTAGCATCTCCCATGTTTAGGAGAAATTTTAAGAGTCTGGGTTTATCCCACCATGCTAATAAAAGCGTGTATGATAGGTGTCCTTAGACGTCACGCATGTAGTTTTCATTCCCACAGCGCCAATAAAGACGTGTATGGGGTCTTTGAGAGTACTTATTTTACAAGACAATTGGTTTCCCTTTGCTTGAGGGTACTTACAAGTAACCTTGTCTTGTCGTAGGCATTGTATCAGGTTCCCATCCTACCATGCTAATAAAAGCGTGTATAGGCAATTTTTCAATATGTCGTAAATGCTGAAATGGTACTTTTGAAAACCTGCTTTGTCACGAGCACCGCAATAAACTTCCTCCTACCATACTAATAAAAGTGTGTATAAGTGATTGTTTTATTGTGCTACTAGAATAAAAAATGGGCTCTCAGAATTTTGAGTTTGGAGGGGTTATACATTTGCGTTGTGGTGGTGACGATGAAGTTGGCACGCATATCGAGGCGAGGGAAGCATTTCTCTTTATATTATTATTAATTATATTCAATTATGATTGATAATATTTAATTATAATTAAAAATAATTAATCATAATTAAACTTAATTGATTATGATAAATGTATGATGAATAATAATTAACTATAATTAAACATAATTAATGATGATTAAATTTAACTATTATAAATTTATAACTAATTTATAATTATTCATAATTAATTATAATTAAAAATAATTAACTATAATTAATTCGTGCATAATTTATAATAGAATATATGCAAGATTTGAACTAGATTAAATATGGTATGCAGGATTTAATTGGATTCATGCAACTGTTAACTCTCACAGTAATTAAACCCTCAGTTTTCTCTGTTTGCAATGGGTTGTTTTTTATTTTTATTTTTATTTTTGAATAAAAGATGCATATTGCATTAATGCTAAAGAAAGAAAGAAAATTACAAACTACTAAAGAAAAATAAACCTATTACAGTGCTTCCTAATCAAGTCGACAAAGCTTGATGGAAGTTTTGTATCTACGAATGTTTCCCAATAAAAATAGCCTAATAATGCAAGATGGGAGCAATAATCTGCCACCTTATTATAATCTCTTGGAACAAAATTAAAAATGATGTTGTTGAAGACTTCAAGAAAAGAAAGGTCCAGCCTATAAGATTTATTCTTCTCTGAGTTCATCTTTATTGAGAATTGGAGATTATTAATGATATTTACATTGTCTCCTTCCACTATTATTCCTTTATATTCGCTTATCCATTATTGAATGTAATTGTCAAAAGTAATTATTGATTTTAGCTCCAAAAAAGCAATGTCCCAATGTATCATTTTTTTTCCATAAGCACACATCATTCTCCCTTTGTGGTCTCTTAGCACTCCTACAATACCTGCCACATTTGATAGTAAAACTACCGCGTCTACATTCAGTTTCATCCAACCTTCAGGTGAGGGGCGCCAAGCTTTGGACAACGTTTGCTGATTGGTGTCCCAATTCTTCTCGATTGGAGCTAACTGTATAGAACAAGCATTAGATAAAATTTCAGCCGCTATATATGCTGTAGTTGGAACAGTTTTTCCATGTTTTGAGACGTTATGAAACTTCCAATTATAGTGAACTACTAAAACATAAATTCTAGCCAATCCAGCATTCATTCTTGCTCTGTTTTGTAGTTCGTCTTCACATTGCAATATACTTTGAAACAAAGGAACGTTGATTCCCCATTGTCTCAACTTCAGCAATATTTCAACTAGCTTAGATCATCTAACAACAATGTGTTGAGTATCTTCTGGAATTTGGCATCCTCTAGGACAGTCCTTGTTGCCAGTTAAGCTTCTATGGTGTAACCACTCATTGGGCAGCAATGCTTCATTCAGTAATCTTCACAAAAACAGAAATTCCCTTTGATTAACTTTCATATTTTTTTATCCATCTAATATTTTTCGCCTTATCGCTTTGAACTTGAGTAATAGTTTCATAAGACAGTGTTGTGATTGATCTCCCTGAGTTATTGCAGATTAGTTCAATCTTATCTTCATTATCCTCATTTCCAATAGAAACTTGTTGTATCAGTTTACCCATTTCTTCTGAAAAATAAATGTTCAACTTCTCCTTGTTCCAATTTCCATCATCTTTGATTAATATAGAAACCTTCTCATCATTCAACTCGTTTACATTACATGTAGCCGGCCAAGAGTTAAGTCTTCTGTCAAGTATCCAAGTGTCTCTTGTAATGTTAATTTTTTCTCCATTCTTAACTCTCCATCTTATTATTGGTTTCAGGAATATTGCACCTTCTTTCAAAATTCTCCAAGTTGGAGATGCATATATTTTAACACCTTCATCCCAAATGCCATCACCATACTTGTATTTTAAAACTCTGTTTAAGAGTGAATCTTGATCTTGTAAGAAGTTCCATGCTAGTCTTGCTCTCAGCGGGCCTTGTCTTTCCAATGCTCCTAGTTTATCGAAACCTCCTGCTTTGATAGATAGGCATAATGTATCCCAAGCTATGTAATGCAGTCCTTGTCTCCCATCTTCCTTATGCCATAAAAAATTCCTGCTTGGTTCCATGATCTCATACAAGGTGGTGCATTCATTAATACCAAGAAGTATTTTGATGACAATTGATAGCATTCTTCCTGCCTTGGATATCCACCGTGCTCCCCATGAATTCAATCTATACATTGCTTTCTCAATTGCGTAATTGAAATCTAAAGCTTTCAATCTTCTTAATTCCAATTTAATTTAGAGCACAAAATGAACAAATTAGGAGATAGTGGAGATCCCTATCTGAAGTTGCATTTATCCATATTGCAATGGGCTGTTTGGCGATAGGAAATGAGCAAGATTTATACTAACTCCTGTGGGGAGACGGGATTAATGCAGGTTTTGTTAACTTAATCCCGTCGGCACGTCAAACAGGATTTAGGGACTTTTAAATCTTACAACGAATTAAATCCTCTGTTTCCCTGCACTTTGCCTGGTGGATTTGCGGGATTTAGCCGAAGAAGCCCGTGCAAGGGATAAAGTTACCTTCACAATGAGCGGCTCCTGTCCTTGCTTTCGATCAAAATGTCGTAACTTCCGCTCCAACAGGAAGGGAACGTCGTCGAGGGTGCGAAGTCAACAACAACGAAGGAGGCGAAGGATGGAGGTCGGCTAGGTCTTGTGATTGGTTCGGCTGCCGTCGACAAAGAAGGAAGGAGGAGGTCCGGAGCCAGAGGTTTGATTTGACGTCAAGTTCGGCTACAGGAGAGGTTTTGACGGAAGCAAGAGGTCGACGACGTTGGTTTGCTTGCGGTTGGATGCAGTTGGATGTGTCTTGGAAGTGAGGAAGAGGGAAGGAGGCGGAGATGGGTTGAGGCTTCAGCTAGGGTAGTCGGCGGCAGAGGAATTCGCCAAACTTAGCGAGAGGAAGAGGTAGAGCAGCAATCGAAAGCTACACCCCTTTCGGGCAGGACAAAGCAATCAAGGCGAATGTGGGAGAGGCGGCGTCGGATCGTGCGTAGGATGTCCGAACCGAAGATATGCGGGATTTGAGGGATTTTGCGATCGTGCAAGTTCGGCGCTACAGGCACGAAAGAATTTTTTTTTTCTTGTTTTATTTGCTACAGCATACAGGTCAATAGATATCATAATTAAGTAATCTTGGGCTTGTTGGATTCATCTCTTCAAGCCACTGGATTCGATTATAAGCATGTCATATTTGAAGAATATGTGATTACCTAATTAATGCTTTGAAGGTTCATGAAATCGGAATTTAGATGGTCCCAAATTTAATTTTGAAAGTTTTCCATTCAAATATGCCTCAAAATTAGTGATTGATCAAGGTGATTTTTGATGATGTGTCAATAATAACTGTAACAAAACCAAAATTAAATATTATGCCAAAATTTTTCTTTCATGATTCTTTTGGAGAACCTTTATGTTGGTGATCACATCACTTGCTTTAAGTGGATTCTGGTGCTGTTTCCTTTTTTTTTTAACTTTTCAATTAGCTTATGGATTCTTGCAAAGAATTATAATATTTATTTTTTACTACAAGGGTAATTGTAAATCTTTTGTGAAGTGTGTTTTATTCAAATTCTGTTTTCATGTTTTTATTTATTGACACTTTCCTAAATTGCCTACTAAAAGTCAAATGTTAAAAACTTAAAATGCTTGCGAATCTTTAGAGATTTGAAGAAAACATATGTTGCAACACCAAGAAAGTGGCAACTTATTTTTTCTTACCACTTTTCGCCAATCCTCAAGTTATTTTCAGTAAAATATTTTTATTTTACAGTCGCCATTCATTTGAAATGAAGTAGTTGGTGTTTCTCTCCATCTTTTTCTATTAGGGGTTGTTTTTTGACCGTTATATTTGATTATGATGTTCTTTTCCAGGTGTTGCAAATAATATGAAGTTTATCCGACTTGCTAGAGTACCTCTTGTCGTGTATCAGAGCAGATGCTACAATATATCTTGTGACATCTCTATCGATAACCAAGCTGGTTATGTCAAGTCTTGTCTCCTGCGTTTGATCAGCTACATTGATGAGCGATTCCGTGAATTAGTTTTGTTGGTATTATTTATTTGCTTGAGGCAGTGACCTGATTAATTGACTAGTTTGATTTTTATGAATAGCTTCCTCTTGTATATGATTGTATTCTTCAATGCAGATCAAAGAATGCGCCAAAGCACAACATCTTAATGACCCAAGAGCAGGGACTTTAAATTCTTACTCACTTTGCCTACTGATTATCTTCCACTTTCAGGTTTTCCTCGACCCTTACATACTTTGGAGGTTTACTTTTAAATATTATGGCTGGGCATGGTTTTAATGCTTCAGTGTCTTGCATATCAGACATGCAGGCCTGCAATTTTTCCTCCTCTCAGGGATTTATATAAGGGAAATATTGTTAATGATTTGAAAGGTATATGACTACTGTTTGGTTCTTCTAAGATCACTCTCTTTCTGTCTATCTCTTTGTCAATGATAACCTTTTGTGTAAAACATATTCAGAAAATATACTGATATTCTAGGACTTGCCGGCTTGTAAGGTTGTTCAATCTTTACTAGAATAATGTAATTTGTTCTAGCAGACATTGCAAGGTTTGTTTATAGGTTTCATGCTTATTGTCCTTTCTTTTTCATGAAGGTCACACTACATGGAGACACGTTGAGGATTCCTTTGCTGCAAAAAGTGCTACGTTTATGTCCCAATTTTCTGGTCAGAGAAACCAAAGCTCTATTTGTCAGCTTTTAATTTCTTTCTTTGACAAGGTAATTCTCCAAGAATTGTGTTGGTACTTGATTATATTATTTGGAATATGTTATTGAAATACATCGCTGTCCATACCTCAAGAGTACAAAGAATAACTTAGTGAACTAAATTGGCATTTAGTACTATACTCCCAAAATGATGTTAACTAGTTATGCATAAACACAAGTGCAGAAATTTTTTGTAATAATATTCATTAGCCTCTCCAAAGAGGAAGAGGGGATATAAATAGCTAGGATTTACAATAAATAAATAAAAGACACACATGACCCTAAGGGTCACAAGCAACTATTCCCTCAAGTGAGGGTTGAAACGAAAAAATGCATAAATAAATTAAATACATATGATAACTCAAAATTAAATCGGTGCGATCATGGCCGTAGATCGTCGCCCTCGTCTCTAATAAACCTTCCAAGGTCAGATGTCCTCATCAAAACCAGTCTGATTTTTATTTTGGCGTTGATGTAGAAGGAATTTTATTTTTATTAGTCTTATTTTTATTTATATCATTAAGTTAACAATTGGCTAGCATGTCAAACCTCAGTCAAGTCTTTTTGCCATATATTAGGGTTATTTTAGCCTTTAACCCCTCAGCCTCAACTCCTACCATTCTTTGTGACAACATATCAGCCCTTTCTTATATTTGTCCAATAAGAATCCCTTGGATCTGCAAACATCTGGGATAATGTCAAGGACACACCTAAACAAGTATCAAAGCATAGAGATCATCTTCATTCTAGTTTCAAGAATAAAGATGATCTCTATGCTTTGATCTTGGTTTAGGTAGGTCCTTGGCATTATCCTAGATGTTTTTAACTTCTAGAAATTCTTGTTGGACGAATAGAAGAAAGGGCCTTACATCCAGATCCAATCCTCCTCATGAAAGGTTAAACTTCAGATGGAAATTTCTGTTGATGAAAAAGGTATTGCTCTTATGGCTTCATCGCAGAGCATGACCGGAAATTGATAGAAAATGCTGTGAATTGCTTTGCCTAATGCCAATGAGATTTTAGGAGTGAAACACAGCTTGATCCTGACCATCTACAACTGATCACCTCATCTTCAAAAGCAGGCCCTATCTGCACTAAAACTATGTTTAAATATGAATTATAAAAAGGTCCAAAGTTGTGGACCAATTGAAAGGTAACAATTGAGCATATTAAGACCCATCTTGTTGACTGATAACTTGAAGGTGACCTAATCAATGGTTTGAGATTTGTGGGTTCCACTTTCATGGCCTATTTAGGAATTGCCTCATGTATTGAATTTCATGCAATGAGGGATGCCCATCTAGTCCTATATCAACTAACAGCTCGTTCTCTACTCATTAAACAATTTACATTAATTTCTTCGGATAATTAATCATTTGAATACAAACTCAAATATTTTGTCTATCATTAACAAACATAACACAAATAAAATTTCATTCGTTTGCATTCAATTTGATAAAAAGTTAAAAACTCATTAAAATATGTATATTCAATACCTCAGATGGTCAGTCATAATCGATGTTTTCAGTCTTTTATTGTTACCTTGGAAGGTATAACCTCTAATAATAAAATGAGCCAATGTTCAAAAATCATGCCTTTGGCATATTGTCACCCCTATCCTAAGGGGACCTCACCTTGGATGAGGTAGCTTGAGATTCCTAACGAGGCACCTAACTATCACATCTAAGGCTGAGAAACAAACCCAAAAGTTACCTAATGAAAACTCCCAATATTTTTTGCTCTAATGCTTGTAATCAAAGCAAGAAGCTTGTTTTGAAGCTATATTTTCACCACTAAAGCTCCTTGACCGTTTAGATTGGCCGACGGAATATAATGGGATGACTATGCTAGCATCTTTTAATGTGAGTATCAATCAACCTTCTTAACAAGTCAGGAGTGTTTATTACTTGTGGGGACTTTGGCTAATAGCAAGTGTAATATCAAAATCTGCTCCAGGATCGTCCAGGACGATCTGGGATCGTCCTGGAACGATCAGTTGAGAATTTGCTCCAGAATTTGCCCAGATTTGCTCCAGGTGATTTTCTGTAAGCATCGTCCAGTCCGATCGAGGCTTCGGCCAGGCCGATTGGCACTGTTCAAAATATCGGCCTGAAACTAGTTATGGGAACCGTCCAGGACGATCCAATTTGGTCTGATCGTCCCGGGACGATCTGGCGATCGGCCGGGCCGATCTG